ACAGTTAGGGCCTATTTCCTGATCCTCTGTGTTTTTATTATTTACAACAGTTCTGCATTTGATTGGTGGTGTAAGATGTCTGAGGGTGCCAGGCAGGCTCTTACTGGGCCTCTCTGGTCCTGCTCATGCCATGCCATCAGTGATGAGCAGCTGTCTTTAGCTTGGAACACATAAGCCCCACAGTGACCAATTACAGCCCCTCAGTGACTAATTACAGCCCCTAATGATGGGTCCCCAGTGGCTCAGTCTGGAGATTAAAATGTGCAGCTCAGCCAGGGCCTGAGATCTCCCCTGTCCCTGGAGAACTCCATGCTCCTGCTGTTGTCAGGAACAGTGGGGCTGGAAAGGAACAGGGATGCATCGCCAGCCTTTGGAGTGAAAATGGAAACATCAGCAGGCACCCCAATACTTTGCTTTCCTTGGATCCTTTCCCTTTCCCATATAAGTGCTGTTATTGTTACATTTCTATTTCAGGCAAGAAACATAATTTTATTTCTTTTTCCATTTCAATAATTTTTAATGAATTCTCTTCACATACAAGAGCAAGGATAGTTCTTGATGATAACAATAATTGGACCACAGGGAAATACTGCCTTGTGGGTAGGTGACAGGCAGGGTACTTGAGAGGAGATGAAGACATTTCTGATCAGAGTGTGGCTTTGGGGGGTCAGGGTGAAACAGTGACTTATGCGAAACAGCAGCAAAACTACTGATTTTTCATGGTTTGCTTTTAGCCAAGAAGCCTAACAATAAAACCAAAATTCCCCATAGTGACTGGCTGGAGAAACTGCATTCCTCCTCATCAGGATGAGGGGTCATTTCAGCAGCCTCCCTCACTGGAGCCCTCAGTGAATAATAAGGATTGTGTAGCTGCAGTTCAATGTCTCTATCAACACCCTTCTTAAGGTGAAGGAAGAACACAGCTTATGCAGTGAATAATGATTGTGTAGCTGCAGTTCAATGTCTCTATCAATACCCTTCTTAAGGTGAAGGAAGAAAGCTTTCCAAAGCTTCTCTGTGCTTTGGAAAAATGCTGGACTAAATTCTCTGGAGTCTTGAGCACTGCTGTAAACAGCATATTATCTTGCAATAAAATAACTAAAATAACAGCTGTATTATCTTGTAATAAAATAACTTATCTTAGATGAGTGTTGTGAAAGTACCAACCTATTAAATCCATGCCAACATCAGCACAGTTGGTGAAAAAAAAATCTAGAATGAGCAATAAATAATCAAGCCACCAGAAAATATGAGCAGAGGCTGGATGGTACAACCTGTGAGCTAGGCTGGAGAAACTGCATTCCTCCTCATCAGGATGAGGGGTCATTTCAGCAGCCTCCCTCACTGGAGCCCTCAGTGAATAATAAGGATTGTGTAGCTGCAGTTCAATGTCTCTATCAACACCCTTCTTAAGGTGAAGGAAGAACACAGCTTATGTGTGCTTTGGAAAAATGCTGGACTAAATTCTCTGGAGTCTTGAGCACTGCTGTAAACAGCATATTATCTTGCAATAAAATAACTAAAATAACAGCTGTATTATCTTATAATAGAATAACTTAGATGAGTGTTGTGAAAGTACCAACCTATTAAATCCATGCCAACATCAGCACAGTTGGTGGAAAAAAAAATCTAGAATGAGCAATAAATAATCAAGCCACCAGAAAATATGAGCAGAGGCTGGATGGTACAACCTGTGAGCTAGCTGGTATTTTTAGTGTCATATGAAAAGAACCCTCAGGGAAAGGCAAAGCTGGTTACAGAGGACAAAGGTCAGGCTTTAGTCACTGGTATTTGATTTTTGGTGCACTATCACTGCAAGCAGCCAGGGGAAAGATTTACTAAGGTATTTAGGTACCTAAACATGCCTAGCAGCATTTATAGCAGCATCTAAGTAGGTTAGGTGCCTAATTCCCATTAACTCCACGAACTTGTTTAAGCTGCTGAACATCTCTGCAAAGCTGGCCCCAGTGCCTGGCCTGCCAGGTGCCAGTCTGAACTGGTGTGACTGGGCTCAGGACTCCAGGGCCTCTGGGTGGGGAGTGTGGGTAACACACAAGGACCACAAGCACAGAACTCAGCAAAGGCTCCTGAGCTGACTTAAATTTTTGCTGCTGACTTTAAAAATAGTCACACCAAAGTCACTCAGAGCAGCACTTGCAAAAAGGCCACTGAATTTTGGAGCTGGGTTTGGAGTCCTGTGTGTCTTGAGCTGAGGGTGAAGAATCCCATCAGCTCCCAGAAAATGGAACATTTTACAACCCAAGCCAGAGCAGCATTTCCTGAGCTCCTGGAGAGTCTTGCCCACAGTCAGCCCTGCACAGCCCAGCCTGCTCCACAACCACAAATATTTTTCTTAAAGGATTTTCCTTTCCTTACCTCAGTGGCACCAGGTACCTCCTGAGTGTCAGAAATGAACCAAACCATTCCTAAAGCAGTCTGTTACAAGAGGCTTTTCAACAGATGGAGAATGTTATGTGGGACAGATTCATTACAATAAAAAGGTGTACTTTTATTAATTTAAAGGCTGTCACATGCACTTTAGTATCTTTTCCACTTAATTTATTAATTCAGGAATAAAAATGAAAATTTGCTGTTTACAGTGTTGCCTATGTTGAAAATTGCCCTTTACAAATTCTGTTCCAAGTTATACTAGAACCATTTTCTCAATATACACAGTTCAGCTTAAGCAAATAATTTTCACAAAATTATTTCACATAAAGGAAGAGATAAAGGGAGATCAAGAGAAATAACCTAGGAAACAAGTATACCAGTGTACAAAAATAGATTGGAACATTTGGAGATTGTAGGTAAGAAAATGTATTCTCAACCCCAGAGAATGTGAACGGGTGGATTATCTGAGGAGGGAAACGCTCACTGGAGCAGCTGAAGAGATGCAGAGATCTATTTCTAACATCTTTAATTTCTAGGCAAGTTTATAAGAGAGAGAGAGAGGAAGAGGCTGCAGGTTTGTGTCACCCTGGGGTCTGGGGGAGGTGGCAGTGAGGGCAGCAGGCAGGTTGTCCCCATGCACAGCAGCTGCACACCCGGGAAGGGCAGAGCTGTCCCCAACACGAGGACAGCTCTGAGCTGCTCCCCAAGGAGCCCTGCTCGTGCACAGCCTGCCTGGGCCACAGTCCCCAGCCCTAAGAGCTGCTCCCCTTTGGAGCACCCACCAGGCTGCAGGAGGCAAGTGGGGGCTCAAACCTCTCCTGAGCAGAAGTGGGGAGCTGGAATCTGTGTGCAGGCTGGATATCCCTGAAGCATGAACAGAAAGTGCTGTCACAAAGCATCCAAGTTACTGCTACAGCAAATACCACAAGGAATTCAGATGACATCTCTGTAGGTCATGAGTCTGTGCCAATCTGAGAAAAGGGTTTTAAATAAAAATGATTCTGGAGTGTCCAAGTCTGAAACTGAAGCACACACTCTGTCCCTTTGGCTTGAGCTCTCTGGGAGCACAAAGGAGGCTGTGGTGGAGCATGCAGGAGCCACTGGAGCAAATATGGCTAAACCATTCATGTGTTATTCCTAGGAGAAGTTTTCTTAGAAATGTAAGTTACTGTGGGTCTGCTGAGCAAGCTTTTTTCCCCTAATCCACACCACCTGTGTAGATTCACAGATAATTTGGGTCTGACCTAGTTGAAAGTACAAAACAAATTTTTCCTATTTGCTTATTCAATATACCCTGACATCTACTTCCTGCAAAGGCCTCTTTTGTGAGCTTCAGGAAGAACATTTGGTGATGTGCTCTCCAGCTCTCTGGCCAAGCGCAGGAGATTACTGGGCTGCTATTCAGAGGCCTGACTTGGATTTCAAAAAAAGGTGAATTATTTTGGTTCAAAAGGATCAACTGTTCCAGTGAGCCTGACCTGGCACAGCTCTGCACTGCTGAGGACAGGGAGCATGGTCAAGGCACCAGAACTCAGAGTGAGTCTGGTTTTGATATTCATTCCTCAGAGGACAAGGATTCTTAACTCCAGTGCCACACCTGCTGAATGCCAATGCCAGACCTCAAAAAATGTGACTGCAGCCTGTGCCTTCCTCACACTGCCACAATCCCTTCTCCCTCCTGGACTGAAGCAGAGATGAAGATTTCCTTTGGCATATCCATCAGTGCTTCTGCAGCTTCAGGTCTGTCTCATTCATTAGTAACACCCACCATTATATACAACACACATATAAAGAGCCTCCAGAAAAATGTAGCACAGAATCATACAAAGCTGACATCAGACATTGTGCTGTGAATAATGAGATTTAAAATATCCTGTGCTACTGAGGTACACAGAAACCTGTTCATTTAACTTGCACTAGCACCCCCCATAATTTTCTTTATCCTCTTTAAAACATCACCGATGTGTACAAAATGATTTTGTTCTACTTAAAAGACCAGTTCTGAGGAGGTAAGTGACTTCTGCTGATCCTGGAGGTGGTTTCACAGGTTTCATTGTACTTGAAACTTCACAGCTTCCACTGAAGTATTTGATGTGTGTTTGTATCAGTTTAGCAGAATACAAAAGTAGAATAATTTTCATATTGCCTCATCTTGTTGTCAGAGTATGATGTCCTCTATGAAAACTTTCTTTTTACTTGACAACTTATCAAAGACACATTTTCTAAAGCTCAACAACCAATCTTAGTAAGTATTTGTTTAAAAAGTCATCAGGGCTCCAATATTTGTAATAGATCACTAAATTTCCAGTAGCAAAACTTATTTGAAGATTTCTCCCATAGAAATAAGAATTTTCAGTTAAGTAATGTCCATTATTCTCACTAGCATTGGCTCAAAAACCCCACCCCCAGACACATTTTCTAAAGCTCAACAACCAATCTTAGTAAGTATTTGTTTAAAAAGTCTCCAATATTTGTAATAGATCACTAAATTTCCAGTAGCAAAACTTATTTGAAGATTTCTCCCATAGAAATAAGAATTTTCAGTTAAGTAATGTCCATTATTCTCACTAGCATTGGCTCAAAAACCCCACCTCACTTTGCATCTCTCAGTCAGCTGGAATCTACCACCAGTGGTCCCATCTTAAATCTCATATTGCTCAGAGCTGTGAAAATTTCAGCTGATCTGGAAAATTCAGCTTCAGGTCAGGGAAGTTATGGGTCTGTGGGGAAATCATGTAAAGATGGGACTGGGCCCTAAGGTGAGATTGCCCCACTCCTGTGGCACCTGCATCCTTTGTAGCACACATCAACAAACCCATCTCAAAACCAGCAGAACTTCCTCCAGCTTGCTGAGGAGAAACGTCACCAGGTACTCCTACATCACACTAGGAACCAGGTAGACTAAAACCTGTGCATCTGCTCACTAAGGGACTAAAACCAGACAAATACTCTCTGTGCACAGCTGTCCTCAGCTCCTGGGCCCGGGGAGGTCTCCGATGCCATCCTCCTCCTCCTGGGAGCACAGCAGGCTCAGAGCGCTGGTGACCGGATGGATCCAGGACGTTGTCTGGGTCACGTGGCTGAAAAGCAACAAGAAATGCTATCAGCAACCCAACAGAGGCTTACCCACCCCAAAGCAAGGAATTCCAGGTGGAGTCTGGGGTTGTAACAACCATTATGACACCTTCAAACACAGAATTGTCTTTTTCTTGCTAACTGCAAGATTTTTAAAAACAAAATGTGGAGTCTTCAGACAGCCAGAACCTGGAGTGGAGGTTCCAATTCCCCATGCAATAAAGAGAATGCTTTTGTATGAGACTCCTGACACAGACTGGTGACATTTCTTGTTAATTACTGGAGCTGCAGACAATTAACACAGCAGGATATTAACATGGCCATCTCACTGGTTACAGCCTGAGGTAGGCAGGGTGGTCAAGGGGAAGTTGAGCAAATGTGGAATCACAGCGGAGAAACACACTCAGCTCTGCAGGACATGAACCCTGCAAGTGTCCAGGGTCAGGCTGGCTGGGATGGTGGAAGGAGCCCCTGTCCATGGCAGGGGGTTGGAATGAGGGGGTATTTAAGATAATTTCTACCCAAACAACTCCATGATTACTATTCGAGCATCATTAACTAATTTCTCTTCTTGCAGAAAGAATTAAAAAAGTTTTTTACATGTCCTCTAGCCCGAAATCTGGACATGCTCCCACAGCCTTTACCCACACCATCAAAGGCCATCAGTGCTGATTTTTAAGGTTTAAACCCTACACTTGACATGTCTAAGCTGCTTTATAGTCTCTGGAAAGCTTCTGTGTGAATGGGAAGAGCCCAAGCAGGGCTCAGTAAGGACAGACACACGGACAGCTTTGGAGTGTGTGGTGAGAACACTGCACACCTTGTGAGTGCTGTGTGCATGTGAGCCATGCTGTGCGTGGGCAGCACACTGCCTCTTCTCCCTTCTGGAATAATGTGTTCTTGGGAAAGGAAATAGCTTCTTTTCACTTGGAAAAAAAAATCTCGCTAATAAATTCACAGCTTTTATAGTAAAGTCAGTGCAAAGATTAATTTTGTAATGTAAGTTCACTACAAGAACAAGCTGAAAAATATTGTAGGTATAATAAATGCCACAAAGGACAAATGGCTCTTCTCACATGTCCTAAGTGTCCCTAAAGCCCAGCTCTGTATTCACTTTCCAGGTGCACTGGTTTAATTAAATTTGAAGGAACTACACTGGATTTACCTTTTCAAGTGAGAACAGGTTTTGTCTTTCTCAGTGTGAGAACACTCCCTTGAATAACTGATTACAGGAACAGATATATTGAAGTAGGAATTTGAGTCAATGTTCCACCGCACTGAGTGATGGGTTTGAGATCACTGCTCTCACCACCAGGATCAAACTATTCACACCTTTCAGCTGAGGGCACTGAGCTTAGAATCACCTGGGTGTGATGAGAATGATGCTGTTCACCAAAATAGGTAAATATAATCCTAATGGAAATCCCTGCTCTGAACAGGCAACCTGGGAATTCAGGCACCACTTCAGCTGAGGCAACACCTGAGCAAGGAGCACACAAGGAACACAAAGTGGAACACAAAGGCCACACCCTCTATTCTCATAAATAAAATAAAATAAAATAAAATAAAATAAAATAAAATAAAATAAAATAAAAATCAAACCCCAAGGCTGAAGCTAGGTGTAAAACCAATTCAGAAGTGCTCTTTTGGTGGGGGCAGCACTGGATGGACTCCATTCCTTCTTTTGTTACAAAAATATGCATTACTGGGGTTGTAGGATCAGTTTCACAGGAGTTAAAACAAAAGAAAAAATGAAAAACACATTCCTACAGAAAACACACTGCAGCAGACAATGACCACTCTTAAGGACAGTAATTCTTTCATTCCAAGAAAGCAAATGTACTTTTTTTACTAGGAATAAGAGCAACTTGCCAAACATTTCCAGTGTTTACCTTTAGAAAGTCAGGTGACAGCCAACATGAACATGAAGAGTTGTTTTACAATGTTTCATGAGAGACTTGGTAATAAAGCCTGTGCAACCAAGAACACTGTTCCCATTATTCCACAACACAGGGAAATGTATGCATTCATATTTATATTATGAATATATTTACATTTGTAAACATACTCAGAAAAATATCTTTGCTGCATATTTGTGCGATGGTTTCTACAATGTCAGGAAATGCCTTGTTTCCCAATTAATTTATTCAGTCAATATGGCTTAGTTTTGGAGATGTGCTCCCAAATGAAGTCCCAGCATGTGATTTATTGGTATAACACACAGAACTTCTTCCAATACCTGCAGAATTATGGGAGCTGAATGAACTGGAGTCCATCCATTCCACCTCTGCCAATGCAAGACTTATGCCTCCAGCACTATTTTAAGTGTTTATATTGCCTACTTTTATCAAACCATTTCTGAGCAATCCATTGCTGAATTTAAATAAGAACAAAATGATTTTAGAGTATTTTTCTTTTTCCCATTTTATTTCCTCATGTGTACCTGAAGCCCTGGCTCCATTTTCTCCTGAGCATGCAGCATCACCCCTGTGAAATGGGAGAGACTGCACAGGAGTGAAGAGTTACATGGAAAGGCATCCACAGATCTTTGACATATCCAACTAAAAATTCTTTGTAAAGTGTATCTTTTTCAGAAGATTTTTCTCCTACATTCTTCAGGGCCAGGAGGCAAATGACAGCATGCCCAACTTCCTGCTACTGCTGTAAGAACTTCAGTCTGCTCTCACACAAATTAAATGCACAGAATTCCCAGATCTTTAACACTGCAAAACTGTGGCACTGAAATCTGGGTTACCTTTCTCTGTATTTGGTGGCATAAGATGGTTTCATCACTGTCAAGAAAGAAAAGAACCAGTTTCCATTCATTTTCCAGACACGTGGGGCCCAGTTTTGCTCTGTTGTCAAGCTGCTGCTGCAAACACTTCTGGTTTGAACCCAGCTCCTTTCAACTTGCTCTAGACTTTATCCCATGGGTGATTCTCTTAAGACAGTTTGGTTTAAACCCTTTGCCAAAATCCTTCCTAGGAAAAGAGCTCTTATAAATAAACACTAAGTCCAGATACCATGTCTCACATTGTAGACAGACACACACAATACGTGCAGATTATTTAGGTAGAGAATAAATGTATAAACCCTGCTGCTGTTTATTTTTAGCTCTCCAAAAGTGCTGTGACTAAAGAGCTTTGACATAATCAGTCCGAAGAGATAATCCCAGATTTACTGGTTTGGAGAACATTCTTGCATTAGAAACACATCCTCTCTGATTTGTGTGTTAGCAATAAAAAGTGAGAGGGAGTCCAAATCTACCTCTAGGTTTTGCTTAACTGATTTGAATATTAAAGGAATATTTGGAAAACCAGCATTACAAAGTTTAAATGTACAACATCTTCCATTTGCAAATGTTCCTGTTCACAAGTCTAATTTAACATTTTCAGAGCAATTAGCAACATTTAAAGATTTTTAGGTTTTCAAACAAATCACTGCTATCGGAGGGCAGCCAAATTTATTGCTAGAAAACAGAAACATTTGATCTGGAAATATGTCAGTAGATTAGTCTGTCTTTTTAACATTAGCAAACTGCAGGACAAATTTCAGAGCTTGGGAAAACAAAACATGAGAACAGAGGGATGTTTTGGCAAAGAAATAGTAGTGGATTATTTCAAATGCCATTATAATTACTCTCCTTATGGCTGTTCCTTCTTCACATGGAAAATTATTTCTTTTAAAACTACAACCTCAGACAATCTTTTAAGAAAAGAATAACTCAAAAATTCACAAGTAAGCTAATGGAAAAATATCTGCACTTTTTTTTTTTTAAGATTTTTAAGCATTATCAAGACATCTTTTTCACCTTAAATTGTGATCTCCAGCCAGGGCCAAAATCTGGAGCCTAACAGGGAACTGTGAAGTCTTGCAGACACCACAAGTGCTGTGGGTCTCAGTGCAGGATGTTGCCCTACAACCTGACATGCATTATTGCAAGTTGCTTTTCCCCCCTTTGGACATGGGACGACATTCACACCACCTGGCTCAGTGCTTCCACTGCACCAGGGCTCCTGAGCTTTAAAAGGAGCCACCTTGGGCAAGACCCATTTGTTTGAGATCATTTCAGGAGAGGAGATGCCACCTTAAGCAATTACTCAGTCAAACTCTCCTAATGAACAGGGACCAAAAAGGATTTAGCTGTACCTGAACTTAAAATGCCAAATTCTGGCCTCAGATGAGGCCTGTTCTTCTCTACCAAACTGAGAAGTATGGCAGATGAAAGTGAAACTCTGCTCATGTAAAACAACACAAACCCCATGTTCTCCTCCTTAATGAGCATACCCCATAAACTAAATCCATGTAATCCATAGCAGTAATTTCACTAAACTTTTAATCTGCCCTTGCTTTTTGATTTCTCAATCTTCATTAGCCCTTTAATGTACAAGAGTGCTCAGCTGAAGAACACTGATGCTTGATGAAGCTGTTCCTGATCTCTCAAAAGCTCTGCAAAGGCTTGGTGGCCCCCAGTGCTGCTGAGAGCCAGGGACACTGCACACCCTGAGAGCTTCAGCTTTTGGTGCTTTCACTGTTGCTACACACCCTGAGAGCTTCAGCCTTTGGTGCTTTCACTGTTGCTACTGCAATAATCATTAAAAATGCAGCAAAAAGCACTGCTAGATGCAGATGCAATGGATTTGAAGGGGACATGCTCTACACTACCCAGGAATATATTCCACATTGTGCTTTGGAGTTGCTGTGAAAGGAGTGTGTGCCATCTGCCAGAGGACAGGGAACACCAGCTCCTCACTCCCTCCTTACCCACTGGCATGCAGCACTGCTGGACTGGAGGCTAATGAGGGCCAGAACTGCAGGAAAATAAAGAACAATGCCTCTGAATGAAGATTCTGAAGATTAATCCATCATGCAGAGGCTCTGCCACCCTCCCTGCCTGCTCTAGCACAGGCTGTGTCACTCTGTGCTGGACTCCACGTGGCTTCACAGATTTGCAGGAATTACTGCCTTTGGCTTTTGTTTTCAGGCCTTTCTGTTCCTGCTCCCC